TATAATACGAATATTTTACGTATGATTGCTTAGATATTTTTAGGGTCTGTCTTGCGCTTGTCAAGTTCCAAAAATATGACCAAAAAAGAGCTCTGTTTTGACGTTGATCGTAACGCACCACAACAATCCGAAATGACTCAGTCAATTGTTGTACAGGGTAAATATTTTGTTGTTGTTATTGTTTTAGATGAATTCATTGATTTATAAACCATAAGATAAGATAGAGGGAATGCTATACAATATTTGTATTGAATTAAATAGCAGTAGAGAACACAAATAACAATAGTTATTTATCATGTTTGTCTCTGATATATGATAGCGTGCAAATTTTTCTGTATCCCCACTTTAGGAGATTTATCCCTCGAAAGATCCTACACTTCTTGGTAATGAATATCACAAACTGTAAGGTTATGGAAAAATTTGCTTACCAAAAGTTATTGCATTCAATTTATATTTATGCGAATTTACATGTTTATCAAGTCCAGCACAATACCCTGATAAAGGTATATAGCTTGATAAAGCTAGATAGCTTTATCAAGGTATTACAAATACCTTGATCAAGGTATTTTATGTAATGAAAATACAAAAAAAAATCCTAAAAAAAATAAATACTGAAAGTCGAGTTTTCAGTTGTTGTCCATGTTGTCAGTAAATTCACTCATGCATGTAAAGTACTCAAACACAAAGAAATCAGTATAAAATCACGTCATGTCATTCTTTTATGCTGTCTTTTTGATACCTGAGTACTTTTCATGCATGAATGAACACACTGACCACAACTCATAATTCGACTTTTAAATTTAATTTTTTAAGAATTTTTTTTGTATTTTCATTACATAAAATACCTTGATCAAGGTATTTGTAATACCTTAATAAAGCTATATAGCTTTATCAAGCTATATACCTTTATCAGGGTATTGTGCTGGACCAGTTTATAGCTAAATTAAAAAAAAGTTTTGCAATGTTAAATAAATACTGACTGGGATTGAAGGCAACACTGATTATGTTAGCCCCCTAGGGATTAAATATTGCCCAACGCATAGCAGCACATATGCAATGTTCAACTCAATTGTTTCCCATGCATTATCTGCACGATGACTGTAAGTGCTAGCAAATTTTCAAGTTGTCATGATTATGTTACAGTACCCTGTGTTTTTTTTTTTTATTATTATTTTTAGGTTATATTTTTTTTTTGGAAGTCATCATCATATCATTTAACCACATTAAATCAATCTACTAATCAGAATCAAAATCAATTATAACTCTTTGCCGGTCAATAGTAAAAATTAAATGACTCATTTTTGGGTGGAGCCTATATATCACTGTTTCTCTGTATAGAGAATATACAAGAGACTATTCTTTACTGAATGTGACAAAAATTTATCTCCCATTCCCCAATGGGATAATATATACCAAATGGCCTTTTATATCCCATTTGGGAAATTGGTCCCAATCTGTTTAAAGCTATTGCATATTTGGAGTTGGAGACTATTTCGATAAGATTTTTTGAATCATTAATTTTACCTTTTATTATTGCATTAAATATTTTTGTATTTTCAAGTCGGTCAATGTGGAAACCAGATTGGGTGCAGATTCTGGGATTTAGCATTACGGGAGCATGCTGCTGTCAATAAAGTAGGTACAATATGCAGGTAAACTAGTGGCGGGTGATCCATTTCATATTATTTGTAGTCATAATTGCCAGTAAGCGTGTGGCTATATACTATTCCGGGTTTGTCTTTCACATTTTCCCTCATCCTGTTACACAACAGAAGAGCGAATTTTGTGAGTTGCATTTCATTTTTACAGAATGGTGTCTATGATGAATCTGTTGGGAGTTTTTTTAGGAATGTTGATTCTCGATATGAAAACCCATCAGATATTCCTTTGGGACAAGGACAAGGGAAGATAAAGTCTCTAAAAGCAAGAGTGAGTTAATGTGAGATAAAATATGTACTTGATTGTAGCTCATAAATCAGTTATTTATATGGAACTTCCTTTGCTAAATTTAATGTTTAGCAAAGAGTAGGGTTCGGATATTCTTACTAACATTTACCAAGCAAATCAATTTCTATGGTTTTACTGTCGGTTTTACAATATATCATATTTATTTATTCATTACAGATCACTGTTTTTGTTATTTGTAGGCAGTCCTAGTAGACATGGAGGAGGGCGTGGTCAGTGAGATGACCAAGGGACCACTGAGAGAAGTGTTTGATTACCAGCAGCTCATCACTGATGTCTCAGGGTCAGGAAATAACTGGTAGGTCATGCTGGATACTGTAGACACTGGAAGTACATAGGTGGATTAAAACATCCAAGACACAGACCTTATGACTGACATACCAGAATTATAAAAAAAAAAAAAACTCAGATAGGCTACCCAAGTTTGCTGATGAAATACTTATAAAGTAAATTATTAATGACATAAAATTCTACTTTCTTTTCAGATATATTTACATATAAACAATCTACATTACTATCAAATTCATTCTGAAAGCATGTGAGCATCGTAGCTCATGGGCCTCTTGTTTGTGATGAAGTCTTCTCCCGCTTTTCTGTAATATTGTGAAGCACAGATACTTCCATTGATTTAACAAAAATGTTTAACAGAAATGTTAATTGCAAGTTTCAAGCAGAAAAGTTATGGTGGCAGTACTAAGTTTTTAAAAACTTTAAAGGAAAAGGAGGGTATTGATTATGATGAAGAAAATGTCTGTGCCAAAAAAAATTTACTTGTAGGCAGAAGGTCACAGCATCAAAGAAGGTCATAAGTTTTCAGGTATAACAGTTGGATGTCTTGAAAGGGGCATTAAAAGATTAACTCAACTTCAGGAAGCAATATCAGCTGTCCGTGATGATTCACAATAACATCATTTTTCTGTATTCAAGATTTATTCTTGGACACTATAAAATTATTATCATTACATAAATAAGTACCTGTATTTGATGCATGTGTTCTATTTTACTGATTTTTTCACTCTGTTTTATATAGGGCAGTAGGACACAAAATGTATGGAACTATGTACAAAGAGAAACTATCAGAGGTTATCCGGAGGGCAGCAGAATTCTGTGACTGTCTGCAGTGTTTTTTTGTTCTGCATTCAATGGGTGGAGGTAAGCTTTGTTTATTTTTACACAGATTTCTTTCAGGGTGAGCTTTGTGGCAATAAATGCAGGCCCGTAGGAAGCAATTTCACTTTGAGGGGGCACAAAGCAATTTCACTTTGAGGGGGCACAACCATACATTTTCAGTTGGGGGGGGGGGGGGGCGCTATCAACTACCAAAATTCCTTGACAAGCAGACAAGCAAAAAAAAAAAAAAAAAAAAAAAAAAAGGTTATCAGACGTTATAATTGAGGGGGCACAAGCAGATAGTAGCTATGTTTTCTATAGTATTCTATATGTCGGCAAAATTACTGGAGTGGGGGGGCACAGCCCCCCTGTGCCTGCCCCCCCCCCCCCCCAGTTCCTACGGCCATGAAGTGCTTGTACATATAGTTACTATAGTTTCATAAAGATCTGTGATGTTTGGTAGAGTTTGTATGAAGATAACTAATAAAGATGTACTCATTTGTACTGCTGATTTGGGGTTTAACCATCAAATTAAAATGGTTTCTCTCTTACTGAAGTCTTCAACTGATGATTACAAAAACTGACTTCTCAAACTCTGGCTAAAATAAACAATTATGACACATTTATAGCTATAACAAAGCAATTTACATTTCAGAGAAAATTTGTTATAATAATGATAATTCATCTGTTGATCACAGCACTAGTAAATCATTATCAGAACAGGGTGTCCATGATTTAAAGCCGCAAAGCAAGTGATAAATTCAGTTAGTAGTACATGTATCAAAATCAGAACAAATTTTGTATGGAGAACAACAAGAACATATTTCCAATAGTAATTAAGTCACAAGGCAGTGGGAACTTGAAATTCTGGTTAATAAGAAACTAACAACACTTGCTTGGAATGAATGAATTCAGAATGCTCGTATGCCTTTGTCCCATGATGGTGACCTTAATGAGTCTCATGACCTTGACCTTGATTCATGTTACCTTGGTCAGGAGCAATATTAGGTTAAATTGAAGTACTGAAGATTAGGGGTGTAACAATATACCCAAATATTGCAATACTTAAAAAAATTGTACTGTATCATGGTGCAAAAACTGTCTACTGGTACCTGTTTATCTTGAATATAACATTTTAAGCATTTTACCTAATAAAAGTGAATTTGTTAAGCTGTTTTTATTGCGTTCAATGTTCAAAGCCTATTAAATGTTACATAATGTATTTTAAACTGAAGAAACAATCTACAACTTTTACATGTATCCTTTTATATTGATAGGGAATTTCCTATTTCAGAACAGAGACACACAAATTATATAAAAAAATTATGAAAGGTGAAATATTGTGATACATATGGTGATACAGTCCCAGTGTATCATGATATACGATTATACCATGATATGCTTTAGCTGTATGGTTACACCCCTACTTCAGAGCCAGATTTTGCAACTCTTGTTTGAAATAAATTCAAACTTTTTCAGTTTAAATTTTTATTTCATTGCCCATGAACCCAAGATAAGGGACAGAGAAAAGGGTCTCATAAAGAATAGGGGTGGCATAGCATCAATAACATGTACTGGTATATGTTTTATTAATACAACACAACAAATAACTATAGCAACATGACTTTTCAAGAGTTCACAGGTTTTTTTTTTTTTTTAAAAGGCTTTTTACTTTCACTTTTTTTTAATATGTGCAAATTTGCAATATGCAATTTCTACAGAAAATAATTCATCTGCGGAGAGTACATTAAATTACTATAAAATAGCAGAGAGGATTTAGGTAAATGATCACTTTTTAGTGTAAAATTTAATTGTGTTGATTCAAAATCATGATGATAACAATATAACAAAATTTCTTAATATTTAGTTCTTTTAATAATAAAATTAATGAAAATGAAAGAAAAATAGACAAACACCAGGATGAATGGAAAAAAAGAGAAAAAGAATCATAAATGCCCTATCACATATTTCTTTACATCTGTCAATAAAATGGGTTTATGTACATATATATGTGAACATGTATGTAAAATTTTATATGGCGAAGTAAGTTAAACAGATCACATGATAAATAATTCAATAAATGCTCAACTTAAAAGTAGCACTTTATAGAAGGGAATCCAAAGCCTAGCTGTTATTGATTGTGTGTAATCTGGGGGTATATGATCATAAGTTTCATCCAAGTATGATGAAGTATCAGGTTCTTTTATTCCATACCTCATATATTATTTAAGTAATGTAACAAAATAACAGTATTGCATAGATAAAGTTGATGATTGGATAATAGTCCTTAGACACAAAGTTTTTATGACAACCACTTGTAGACTCGAATTTCTGAAAATTGTGTTCCTCTCAGCATCACAGCAACATTTCCAGCTCTTGTTACAGCAACATTCAAAGGCTTTACATCAGGTGCAATGTCATCTGTGTTTTGAACCAACGATCGTTGATAGTTACCATGATTGTCAAACACTTGCACCCTGAAATTCCCAGCATCAGCAACTATGACATTATCTCGCTTGTCTACGGCAACTCCCATGGGACAACACAGATTGCCAAACTTCCTTTTAAAGTTCCCAGCTGTGTCAAAAACTTTGATACAGTTGTTACCAGAGTCACTGACAATGATATGATCTTTGCTGTCCACTGCTATGAAGTTTGGTCCATCAAAGTGTTTGTCACCAGAACCATGCCATCCAAATTTTACAGACATTTTATTTTGATCTGTGAATACATAAATGTTATTGCCCTCCAGGTTTGAAATAATAGTCTGATTCTTTGAAGTTATAGCTATACCACTGGGTTTATCAAAGCGATAATAATCTCCAATAGTTTGAAGCACATGACCATCCATATTGTATAGTCTCATTATTGCCGATCCTGCACCATTTATTGCCAGAAGAATTAAATTGTCACGAGTCATTGTCACACCACTTATTTTACAGTCACAGCTAAATCGACCAATCAGTTCACCAGCATTTGCAAACACTAAAACTCGACTCCCTGCCAGATCTGTTACTACATACTCCCCGTTCTTTCCCACTGTCAGTCCATAAGGTTTCATGAAGTCTGCTATGGTGGTTCCATGATGACCAAATCTGAGCAAAAGATCATCATTGCAGGGGGCATTTGTTGCAGTAGCTGGTACGTTGGATGGAATGTCACTTGGTGCTTGTGGGTACAGATTACCAGAAACTGGAGAGACTGCAAAAAATAATATATTTATATTTAGAAAAACATCCTTTATCATCTTCAATCTTTTTCAACAAAATGATCATGCAATGCAGTTGCATGTCCATATGACAAAATTACATAATTCTAAGCAGATTTACACGTCACATTAAATAATAACCATCCATTTTAAATCCTTATAACTGTCCAGAAATACAGTCATGTCAAAGTAAATCGATGACTAATTAACAGGCGAAAGCATGACAGTGATTCACTGTTTAGAGTAAATTCGAGTTACTTACCACTTCGAAGACTTCCGTCAATAGGGCTGCCTTTAGGGCGTGGAGGAACCATTGGTTTCTTGACCACAGTGTCTGAAAGACTTGATAGCAAATGGTTGTCTGGAAATTCACTCACACCTCCAAGTGGAATCATCGTTGGTTTCTGGCAAACGGGGCATGGAAATTGTCCCGAAGACTCATAACCACGACTCACTATGAAATCTGTCAGACAACCCTGACAAAATGAATGTAAACATGGCAGAGCTTTGGGTTTATCAAACTCACCAAAACATATCGGGCAAGTTAAGTGGTCCTCACGAATTTTTGTTCTCAAACTCATTGCCGAAACTGGACGAAATTTTGGACCTGTATTCATGTTTGTTTTTAACGGAAGTTTGAATTTTTGCCGTTCTGCCAACCTCCCCACGATTAGACATTATAAAAGTTGAATTGTTTACGTTCTTCAATCCGAAACGATCAAACGCAATGTGTACAATGTACATTTATTACATTTTCAACAGTGAAATACTGTGATTTATTTATTGAATAAAAGTGATATTCTCTCACAGTGTGAAAGGATACCAAAATGATATTCTCTCACAGTGTGAAAGGATATCAAAGTAAGTAAAAAATAATTTCTGGCCTGTCATAAGGTAGAGATAGTAACTAAGCATGTTGATAGGGCTAAAACTGCAAATTTCGTCCCAAATATGTTGCTAAAATCCATGCTATGTAATGTTTTCAATCACAACTGCTAAGCTATGACGTCTCAACCGCTCAACTATGACGTCAAGCCTATGACTCTGTTAAGAAAAGAAAGAGGCAAAGGGAAAATCAAAGAAAATGTAATAAACAGAAAATTCAATATTTTATAGATGAATATGGAATTTTTTTCACTCGTGAGACAGGATTTTTTTTTTTTTATATTTTCACTCGTGCTTCACACTCGTGAAAATATCAAAAAATCCTATCCTCTATATGTACAATATTGAGATGAAATTGAACAGTTAAGATTTAGGGAGTTATTTAATTCGATACGTAATCAATGAACCAGAATTTTTTTCCAGGAGGCTCCCTCTTGACTAGATCATATTTTGTGATGGGAGCGGGAAAGGCCCACATGCAAAAAACTGAAAGAAAAAAACCAACAAACAAGCAAACAAACAAACAAAAAAAACCCCAACAAAACAAAAACAAAGCATTGATTCTTTGAATAGCCTCCTCTCTCCTCCTGTATTATAGAGTGAAAATGCATCTTGTGAAAATCTTCTCTGCTCCTAGGTAATAGCAGATAAACTTCGCTTGTACATTGCTATGATGAGCAAGGTATGTGCCTCTTCCAGATTTGTGAAATTCATGACCCCTGGGTCAGGAGTTCTGGTGTAGGGATTACCGGTATATAGTGAAAATGCATTAATTCTTTAAAAGTCTTTTTCTCTGCATCTAGGTATTTAGCAGGATAATTAAGTGCATGATTTTGCGAGGGTTCATCTTCCAAAATTGTGAAATTAATGATCCCAGGGCCAGGAACTCTGGTGTTATGGTGGGGATGTAATGATCATGCATTGTATAATGATTATCAATTAATTTTTTGAAAATCCCCCTCTGCTCCTGGGTATTTAGCAGAGTTTTAGCACGGATGTTTTTACCAGATTTGTGAAATTCTTGACGACTGAGTCAGGAGTTCTTGTGCAGGGCATGTCATGCTTGCAAGTCATTTCCGGCATCTATAATCTAATAAAACAAAAAAAAAAAGGTAATCATTCAAATATTTACTGGATGCAGACCAGTACCACTGTATCTTTGAACAACACTCACATTTAATTGTGTTAACTGACTTTTGCTTTATTCTGTATTGTATATTTCATAATTAAACGCTGCTGCAATTGTCTTTGTAAAATGTATGAACAATTCAACATTAATTGACTTCCATTTTTTTCAGGAACGGGCTCCGGGGTGGGAACTTTTATATTGAACCTTTTGGCTGACGAGTACCCAGATGTGTACAGGTATTATTAGCTTACCTGAGTTAAAACTTATTAAGTTGTCGTGAGCATCAAGAGCACAGTCTGCTGTAGGCTGTTGTTTTCTATTTTTAAAAAATTTTTTCTCGAAAAATTCTGGCAAAAAAATCCGAGATTTTTGAAAATCGTACTTGTTCAAATGATTTGAATTAGGTGGACTGACATGTGCTCTATTCCAAAGATATTCTTTGTTTGTCTGCAGCAACAATTTATTCTGCTATTTGTGATGATCTAAAATGGTTGCCATTGAATTTCGTATTCAGATAGATTGGGGATTTATTTTTACCCTTAGCATTATTCCCCTTTTTCAGTTATTTAGCTTTACCTCAGTGAATATGGCGAGGTATCTTTTAAATAGCATCACTAGAGTCGACATTATAGAGTTAATCTTTTGCCTTGACATTGGTAAATGATACACGTTTGTATTCTTGTTGTGGGTAAATTGATGATTTCATGAGAACTATTTTGAATTATGAAAAATGAGAGTTGACATTATAAGGCTTGATCTGTCACCTTCACATTGGTAAATAATACATGTTCACATGTTTGTAGCTCTGACTTGGGGTACCTTGTTTATCGCCAGCTTCACTTTTAAAAACAGGTGAACAAATAAACGATATGAGTTGACATAACCTTGAACTTTGACCTTGAAAAATAATATCTTATTTGACGGTTAATTAAACTTCAATGATAACAATTAGATAAATCATCTTTTAACTCCATAGTCAATAGAAAGAAATTGTAAAGATTTTCGATTTAATTTTTACCGGTTGCGGTAGCCAAATAGTAGGGCGCTCGCTTTATGATCAGGAGGTACAGGGTTCGAATCTCGTTCCCAGCGCCGCGTCAAACCTAAGACATTAACAAAGGTAGTGACTGTTCCTTCGCCAAGCGCCCGGCACTAGTGAAAGTCACAGGTCTTCTGGACGAAACCTTAAAATCCGAGGCCCCGTGTCAGGGTAGGCGTTGGCACGATAAAGAACCCTCACTGCTCAATGGCTTTTGAGCCCTTCACCGAGATATGGTGACATCTCACATGAATGAACAATTTTTGCAAGGCACTTAAAACCGAGTGACTTTTGCCTTGAAAATTGGGATATGACAAATGTTCATTTCCGTTTTAGATGTCTTACATGTATTATGCTTATAATCTTGTCGTTTTTAAATGACATTGGTAGGAAGGAATGCAGTAGTTGTAAGATTTAACTTTATCCCAAGAGGAAAATAATTTAATGATAATGGCTACGCAGAAGGTCAGAGCGTTTAGAGCCTGGTAGGATTGACAAAACAAAATGTGTTTTTGGCACTCAAGCAAAAGTAAATTGAATCAAATCTTGTCAAAACAACTTTTCAATGAATCCCGTTTTCAGGGTGGACTTTGACCATGCATTTGTAAATGATTTGCAAGGAGAATCTACCAACTTTCTATGTGCGTGACATGCAGATGATATAGGATAGAACACTGCAATCTGGCGCAATCATTTAAGCGGTGTCTCCTATTTTTTTTTTTTTAAAGATTTGTTACTGCAGTTTATCCATCATCAGAAGATGACGTTGTGACGTCTCCGTACAACAGCGTATTAGCCATGCGCGAGTTGACTGATAAAGCAGACTGTGTGTTGCCTATAGAAAACCAGGCTCTTGTGGACATTGTTAATAAGATAAGCCAGTCTGTCCCTTCAGCCAAGCTTGGCAAGAGAGTGTTCACTGCCAGCGGGGTGAAGGCCGGAAGCGCCATTTCGGAGGGAGAAGGAGGGTTATCGAAGCCATCAGACGAAAGACCGTTTGACAGTATGAACAACATTTTAGCTAATTTGCTTCTAAACATGACCAGGTGGGATTTACTTGCTTTTTATTTTCAGTATAACAACTGACCTTTACATTTACAAAATTATGAAAATATTGTTTCAATATATGTATCCATGTACTTTTTATTTGTTTGATAGTTCTGCCAGATTTGAGGGATCTTTAAACGTGGACTTAAACGAGATCACGATGAATCTTGTTCCTTTCCCAAGATTACATTATTTAGTTTCCAGCCAGACACCACTATTTTCTCTGTCCGATGTTCACCTTCCTCCCAGAAGGTAAACAAAAAAAATAAAAGTCCACTGCTGAATTAATTTCAGAATTTAAGTTGATGGTTGTGGCTAATTTCCGAGTTTTTTGTTAAGTTTTCAATAGAGTTAAGTTTGTTACACTGAAAGGTTCTTAATTTTATCGTTATTTATTCAGATTGGACCAAATGTTCTCGGATGCCTTTTCTCGAGACCATCAGCTAATTAAAGCGGATCCTAAACATAGCTTGTATCTGGCATGCGCATTAATGGTCCGCGGTAACGTGGAAATCTCCGACGTCAGGAGAAACATTGAAAGGTACTACATGTACTCAGCTCAAACCTCATTATACTGTTAACGGTTAGACATTTTATACTTGTAAGTGCTGTCTTTTGTCACTTCAGTTTTCATGAACCTCTTTATCTAGACGAATTCATTGGTATGCAAAGCTACTGTGAAAATGAATTCATGAATGGGAATAATAAGTTTTAACATAGATTTTTACTGATTTCAAGAAAAAAAAAATTTGTAGGTTGAAGCCAAATTTGAAGTTTATCCACTGGAATAATGAAGGCTGGAAAACTGGTCTCTGTTCTGTACCCCCTGTAGGCCAGAATTACTCCCTCCTAACCCTGGCCAATAACACTTGTGTACACAATACCTTTGTGGATCTCAAAGACCGCTTCAACAGGCTGTATAAAAGAAAGGTATTTCATCCTCTGTTTTATTCCTGAGATTGGGTAATCATAATATTATATCTGTGCCTTTTAAGGGCGTTTGATGTGCATGCAAATATTCAAAGGACAAAATAAAAATATAATGTCAAATGCACGTGCATATACTATAGAAGAAAATTGTTTCATCGATGTGCTCACGGTAGGTGCATTTATTTTAGCAGGATTCATGTTTGGCACTAATTCATAGCTCACTATCAAAATATGTCCAAGTAGAATAAAATTTTAAGCAAATCAAAAATTGTTATGTAATACTATATAAGCTACACGTACATCTTTTTCCTGGTATGCTACATGTACACATGCGATAGAGCTAGAATGGATTGCCGGTAAAAAGGTTGTAAATTTCAGGCTCATGTTCATCATTATACGTCAGTAGAGGGCATGGAGGTGGCGGATTTCGGTGAGAGTCTGGAGTCCTTGACGTCACTGGTAGAGGACTACAAGGGCTTAGAACAACAAATGAACAACCCTCCTCCTGCAGAGCCTCGACTGGAAATCTTCAAGTGACGTAGCGCGTTGGTTGCTAATGGAGATCATCCGGGTGTCTAGACGCCAGC